TTGATTGTTTCAATTGACGTCTATGGGGAAACATTGCTTCTAATCAATTCTGATAATAAATTCATTTAGGAATTCTATTTCAACCGAAAAACAAAACAAAAGAAAATTTTTGATAAAATCCTAACCTATTCTCAGTTCTGAATTCTGTAATTGAAAATTAAAATTGACGCCAAACACAAAAACACAAGAGACATTGTCAATTTGTTCAACAATAGAAAAATGTCAAATCAAAATTTTTGTGAAAATCCAATCAATTTATTATCTGTGATTGAGACAAAAAAAAGAGAAAATTTTCATCGATAAAGATTAAACAAATAATGGTGGTGACGAAAAAAACCAACCGTTGGTTAATTTTTTCCGAAAAATCATCATTTTTCAGGCATTTTTAAAACCATTTTAGTGATAATAGCCGTCGTGAAATGCAATAAATTTGATGCGCATAAAATGTTTGAAAATGCTAGAAAATTAATGATTCAAATTTTTTTTTTCAAACAATCCAATGTTGTTAGTGTTTTTCGGGCATAAAATATGATGATGATATTCGGGTTTTTTTCATTTTTTTAAAAACCGGGTTTTTTTAATTTATTGCCGTTCATAAATGTCATCATCATCATCATTATCGTTGAAATTGAATCCGGAAACTTTCCATAAACATTTTTCTCACCGAAAAAAATGAATGATAATCCTTGCGAAAAAATTTCCCACAAAAAAATTATGGACAATTTAATCCCGTTTAAGTAATTAAAATAATCGATCATCAAAAATTCTTTTCTGTTTATTCTGCGTGAAAACCAAATTCTGCATTGATCCGGAATTATTCGGTGAAAGATTCTCTCGGAATATTATTCTGGTAAAAGTCGAATTTTCCTTCGCAGAATTTGCACCCACACACACACACAAACGCATCAACACATTACTTCAATAATTCAATTAGCGACTTTTATATTTTTAACTTTTTATATGTGATTTACTGAAATAATAAACTTTTTTATTTCTCATCACATATCGAACGAACGAACGAATGAAGAGAGAGAAGAAACTTTACGAAAAGAAAATTTACATAATTTATAATTTAATTTATAAAAAATAACTACGATGAAAGACTACGTTTTACGCCGGAATCACATATATTCTCTCTCTCTCTCTTCATTCATTCATTTTGAAATAATGTTGTTATTTTTAATTCATGATAATCATTTCTAGGAAAATTTCTAAGATGTCATAAATATTTTTGCTTATCTCTCTTACTCTTTTGCCCACACATTATTCATATCAATATGATGATATGATCAATAATGATGTTTATTTATTTATTTTGGTTTTGTTTTGGATTGGTTCTGAGTTGTTTTTTTTTTGTTGTTGTTGTTTGGAGTTTGTTTTAACTTGCATCTTTCATATAATAATCATTAATCTTTTCATTTTGGTTTGGTTATTTGACTTATATTACCTAAGTTAGTTTTGGTTGGTTTTTGTTTTTTACATTCTGGATCGAATAAATGTCATATAAACACACACACACATAAATACATTTACATGACAAACTTAATCAAATAACTTTTTTCGTTTTCGTTGACTATTATGGCTTCTTTTTTCCCTTGTTTTTTTTCGGGCTTAGTAAATTGGCTGATTCTGGATTCTTTTTTCTGTTTTACCTATTCAACATGACGATAATGATGATTCTGTATGATGATGATGATGATGATGAGAATTTATGACCATATGAATGGAAATGAAATGAATTCTTTGGTCCAGATGTTCGGTTTTCTTTTTCTTTTTCTTTTTTTTCCTTGGCGGTTATTCACCAAACCCAAAAAAAACAAACAAATATGAACCTGAATCGAGAGCTAGAGAATCTGATAATAATGATAATGATTTGATTTTTATGTAATGAAAATTTCGGTAAAACAAAAAGAAAAGAAAGAAAATTTTTGTTTTTCAATAAAATCTTCGGGTATTATTTTCGATTCAACAACAACAACAGCAGCAGCAGCTTTTTTTTTTATTCGGAAATCAAAACTATCTTTAGATTTCGTTACTATCGATTCTATCGATTTTCTTCCTCATTCTTTTTTGCATGTATAACGAATATTTCGAATGTAATTTGATATTTTTCGTAGGAAGAAGAAATAAAAACAATTCGCTTTTTTTCGTTTTTGTTTTGATTCCATGAATATAATTAGCCGTTTTTTTATTTTTATATTTTTTTGGTTCGAAACAAAAACACAATTCAAAGATAATCAGATTACCGAAACGAATCGACATTTCCCCGCACCACCACCACCACCACCACCTACGTTCTCCCGTATTTTTTTCCACTCTCTTCCTCTGAATAATCGAATAATCACTGTAATAATATGGGAAAAAAAGAAGAAGACGAAAATATTCATTCATTCATTCATTTGGTATAGCATTTCATTTTTTATTTTTTCAGTGAATATAATCGGTTTTTCCATAGCCAAAAAAAACATCATTTTGATAAATTGATATTTTTTCAGGTTTTTTTTCGTGAATAATAATTATGTAATGATGATGATGATGATGATTTGGCTACAGAATATTCTCGAAATGTGCTTTTTCGATTGTTTTCAAATTAAACAAAAATGATTGACACAAAGTCAATGGGATAATTAAAAAAGAAAAGTAACGATAATTAAATACTTTTTTTCGCAATCACAGACCAGAATGGGGAAAAAATGAGTTTTAATTGGTTTTTCTGGTTTGATTTTTGTTTTTTTGGCTAATGAGAGGAAATTGGTTGAATGAAGAATATTGTTTGATTTTGTTTTGTTTTGTTTGTTTTTCTCATTTTGATTTTGAATACGAAAATCTGTGTGGGGAAACAAATGTTGATTTTTTTTTTTTGATTTCCCTGATTTGGTAGAATTTGAGAAAAAATGAAATGAAATTTCAGCCAAATCGGATGATTCTCGTAATTTTAATTCTTTTTTTTTCTAAAAAAATTCTGGTGCAAATTCTTCGGGTACAGATCGTGCCGTTGTTGTTGTTATGGTTTTTTGAAGATTTCTTTGTCGTTTTTATCGCTAAAAAAACGAAGAAAAAAATCTTATCGAAATTAAAGATTTTTTTTTTGAAATCCAGAATCCCAAATAAAAATAAAAAGCTTAAAACGAATCATAAATATTGATGATCCAAAAAAATTTTATTTTTTATTTTCATTTTCTCCTTTCTCTTTTAGTTATTTTCTGATCAAAAAGTTTCTTCAGAATTTTCTTCACTTTTTCAAAGAATTTCAAATTGGATTTTTTTTCTTACGCCGCTGATTTATTCGATTGTGATGATGATGATAACGATGATGATGATGATGATGATGATGATGATCGTATTGGATTCGTAACATATCGATTATATCGATTATTATTATGGAAACTGATAAACAATCATTGTCGACTATTTCGACAACATCGACAACAACAACAACAACATTATTGGATATTGAAGAAAAATCATCGACAACAACAACAACAACAACATTATTATTTTTAACAACCGATACATTATCAATATATTTGAAAATTATAATCGGAATTATATTAGTTATTGTTATATTAATATCAATATTTGGTAATATACTTATTTGTGTTGCAATAGCATCGGATCGTCGTTTAAGACGTTTAGGTAATTTATTTCTTGTTTCATTAGGTAAGTTTGTTTGTTTGTTTGTTTCAAAATGATGAAACCTCTGTTAATCCCTTTACTATTTTGTTTTTTTTTGTTTTTCAAAAAATTATAGCCATTGCTGATCTTTGTGTTGGTGCATTAGTAATGACATTTGCATTAGCTAATGATCTAATGGAATATTGGCCATTTTGGCCACAATTATGTGAAATATGGATTGCATTCGATATTAGTTGTAGTAAGTTATTATTTTATTAACAAATTTTTCTGATAAAAAATATAACGAAATTTTCCTCAATTCTTTTCCGGAAATATTTTCTCATCCAATCCAAATACAGGTACATGTTCGATTATAAATCTATGTGCAATTGCATTAGATCGTTTTGCTCATATAAAAGATCCAATGCTTTATAATCGTTGGATGAATAAACGTATTGTTATTATTGCCGTATCAATAATATGGATTCTTTCTGGTTTGATATCATTTTTACCAATATCATTGGGTTGGCATAAACCATTACCATCTACATCAATGGTTATGGATCGAATCAATGATACACCATTACCATCATCAACGACAACAATGATGACAATCATTGAATCAAATTTTGATTATGATGATAGAATTGACGAGAAATTTTCCCTGAAACGAAAACAACATCGAAGATCAATCGATCAATTTGATTATTTAAATCCAATATTTTTACAATTATTTCGTCAACAACAAATGGAAAATATTTCCAAAATTGAAACAATTGCCCGTGTACCTTCATTCGAATTACCTGTATCAATATTTGTTGAAAATGAACAACAACAACAGCAACAAATTTCTGCCGAATTTGATGATGATGATGATGAAATTGATAAAGATTTGGATCAACAACAACAACAACAAATGATTTTCGCAAACCTACGTCATTCAAAACATTATTCATCAAATTTAGTTTATTCACAAAATCAACTGAATAATGAAAATTTTGATCAAAATTCATTACCAACATTAAATTGTTTGAATGATGATTGTGATTTGGAATCATCATCATCCACAACAACCGTAACATTAACGGAATCAGAATTGCCAGAATCATTGACAGAATCAGCAGAGACAGAAGATTCAGAATTTGCAGAATCAAATCAACATGAACAACAATGGCCACAATGTGCATTAGATTTAACACCAACATATGCTGTGATTAGTTCTTGTATTAGTTTTTATTTACCATGTTTAATTATGTTGTGCCTATATGCTCGTCTTTATTCTATTTGTAAACATCATGTTAAAACAATCAAATCAATGACAAAAATGACAACAACATTTCAACAACAACAACAACCGGGATTTATTATTGTCGATAAACAACAACAACAAAATAATCGATTATTACCCGGATCAATTCAAATGACAATCAATAATGATGATGATGATGATAATCAAATAGTTTTGGATGATAATAATGATCAAAAACAAAAAAATAAACGAAATTTATCATCAACATCAACAAATCCAGTTTCAAATTTAAATCATCATCAACATCAACATCAAAGTCATGTATCCGAACATAAAGCAGCAATAACATTGGGTATTATAATGGGAACATTTTTGGGTAAGTATTCTGTTTTGTGTGTAGGATTTGGATTAAAGATTAAATGTTTTTTTTTTCAATGAAAAACTATAGCTTGTTGGATGCCATTTTTCTGTATGAATATTGTTGCTGCATTTTGTAAAACATGTATTCCAGCTTCGGTATTTAAACTGCTAACATGGCTTGGTTATTTTAATAGCTGTCTGAATCCGGCCATTTATAGGTATGTTTTTTAAAACCACAGTTTTTTATGTTTTGATTCGATTCACTTTATCATTTTTTCCCTCAATTCATTTCATTTCATCACACACTTATAGTATATTCAATACAGAATTTCGTGATGCATTTCGACGAATTCTTGTACGTTATGTATTTAGTTCGGAAACAATGTCACAAACATGTAATCATATATGTAAAAATCCATGTAGATCATCAGCAACATCAGCAACAACAACAGCAGCAATAGATAAAAAACAATCATTATCATTAACAACAACCAAAATATTAAATATTGATCATGAATCCGAACGAAAAAATATTCAATCAAAAATAAAAGAAGATGATAATTATGTGAATAATCGTCATTCATTTCAACAACAACAATTTTCGAATAATAAAAATATTGTTGAAACTTTATCATTCAAATCATCAACATCATTAAATGATATAACATCATCGAAAAGAATCAATGATAATGATGCTGAGGATAAACAAAGTCTTAGGGCAGATAGTAAACACATTGATAACGAAGATGTTGTTGATGAAAAACAAATTGATCGAAACAAAATGAATGGAAAAAAATTGAAAAATTTTAATGAAAAATCAATAATGACAACATCAACATCAGGAAAAGAATCAAATCGACATCATCGCCATCATCAACAAAAACAACGACGTCATAATAATAATAATCATCATCATCATCTTTATAATTCATATTCGGTTGATCATTGTTGTTCGATAACTAAATTGGACAATCGAAAAATTGATTCAACAGCAAAAACAACATCACCGACGACATCGACAAAATTACCAAATTATCATCATAATTTAAAAATGTCTTCCGAATCAGATATTAATTTAGCTTTAAATCAACAAAATCATCAATGTAAACCAGATTCATCATCAATGATGATACCGATGGAAAAATTATCATTCGATGTTTGAACAAAATTCATACGATACGATTACGAATGCCAAAAAAAAACATAGAAAATTGCCGGAAAAAATTCTTGCCAAAAAAAAAAAAAAATTCAACCAAAAATGAAGAGCTTTAAAATTTCATTCATTTCAATCGATTTTTTTGATTTTTTTTTTCAAAATTTTTTTTCAAAATCAAAAAAATATCAATCATAATCATAATTAAAATAGATGATGTTCTCCTTCATATTCCTCTTCATTTCGCTTCAATTTTCACTCCGAATTTTTGTTCTCTCTCTTTTTTTTATTGTTAATAAAAATTGTTTTCAAACACACAAAATGTATATGTTGTTGTTGTTGTTGAATAATAAATAATGATAATCTTCTTATTTTGAACCAAAAAAAAAAAAAAAAAATTCTGATAAATTTTTTTCAAAAAAAAAATCAATCAAATCAAGAAGAAGAAAAGTGTTATTTTTTCAATTTACAACGATCAGAATGTTGGTTAACATCAACCACTACTACCATTATCATCATCAAAATGGAATGTTGTCGTTGCTGAAATAGATAATGGTTGTTGGTGGTGGGGGTACGGGGTGGGGTGGAAATAGCGTATAAAGAATTCCATAAAAAAAATAAGAAATTCATCTGTCTTTTTCTTTACGGTTTTTTCTGAATCTAAAATACCAGAAAAAAGCGAAGAAAGAAAGAAAATGAAAATGAAATTGAATTGAAATGAAAAAAAGGAATGTGTAATTTAAATTGGTTCCAAAATGACGATGATGATGATTCTTTCTTTTTTTTTCTCCGTTTTGCCGAATGGATTACAAAATGGCAATAAAATAATAATAAATGATGATTGTGTGTGTGTGTGTTGAACAGCGGAGAAATTGTAAAATAATAATTTTTTTATGAAATGTCAAAACCGAAAAAAATGATGATGATGATAACATTTTCAACAAAGAATAATTTTATTTTTTCAATTTTTGAAAAAAATATGACATTTGAATCTTTCATTCATTTCAGCTTAGAAAATGATAACTTTTTAATGAATGGAATTTTTTTTTGGTAAAAAAATAAAAGAAAATTACAATCAACCCACCAAAAACCTATCAATCAAATCGAAATCAATCAATCAATTGGATAACAATATACAACAATTTTAAAACCATTATGACCACCATTACGTTTCTTTTTGGATTTTTGTTGTTGTTGTTGTTGTCCACTACTTTTACGTTTTGTTTGATGACCACATTTTTCACAACAACCATCATTATCATCATCGTCTTCGTCGTTGTCAACGTTTTCATTATCATCAGGATGATTTGTTGATGGTCGTATTGGGCGTTTAATATGAAATTCAAATGATTTATTATTATTATTCGCATTATTATTCGTACGAAATTGATGATTTTTGTTGTCATTTTTTGTTGTTGTCGTTGTTGCTGTTGTTGATGATGATCTATGATGATAATTTGATTTATCTTTACCATTATCATTTGTCATTTCTTGTTCTCGAATCGTATCATTATTGCCATCATCATCATCATCATCATAATTATCATCAAAACCACCACAATCTGCTCCTGTTTCATCATCATCATCATCTTGTAATTCGGACATTGTAACCGATGCTTCAAAATTATTATTATTTCTCATTGATGATGATGATAGATTTTTCTGTGATCTATTTTTGTTTTTTTTCGTTTCTGTAGCCGATTCGGTTATTGTTGTTGATAACGGTGTACTTAAACCTTCAATAAAAATTGATTGTCCTTGTTGATTAAAAAATTGTAATTTAACTTTTGTTGGTCGATTTGGTTGAAATTGTTCAATTAATGGCTGGCCATCAGGTCCCATATTACGCAATCGTCGTCGTTTATATGTATTTGGTTTACGTTGATTTTCTAAACGTGTACACAGTTTTCCCGTATGTTTCAATATACCGGCTTTAATATCAGCACGCCAAAACCATAATTCTTCTGGACCAAGTCGAGGAAATTCTTCAACAATCATTCGTGAAAATAAATCATATTGTTCACAAATTGGATATTCACTAAATAACCGTACTAAATAATCACAAACAATTCGGGTAAATTCATTGATATATCTATCTGGTAAACGTGCACCACCAATTGTACCATCATAATTTTCTTCATGATCTTGTTGTAAAAGTTCTAAAATTTTTTGTCCATGATAATTATGTTTTAATGTTTCATCACATAATATTTGATGAATTGATGCAAGTGGTACCTTTGTATACAATGAAATTAGTTATTCATAATCAACAACACGGTGGGAGGAATGAAAATGAAAATAAACAAATTAGTTAATTATAATGGAATTTAGGATTAACAAACATACAATTTCATGATTTTTATCCATTACATAAAGATTACGTTTAGCTAATGGTCTTTGATCATTATCATTTTGATGAATGATATTGTCATTTGGATCATCAAGATTCTGATTGTGATTGTTATCATCAGTATTACCATCCGATAAATTCATTAAAATATTTGTAGCCGATGTTGTTTCATTATTATAACCATGATGATTATTTAAATGATGATTTTGATCGACGGTTGTTGTTGTTGTTGATGTTTCAATTTCAGCAATCGATGTTATCATAAAATCACCATCATCCATAATTAAGGTTTTTTTTCGTTGAAAAAACAACAACAGTAAAAAAAAGATTCGATCCAACCAGAAAAAAAATTACTCCAATTTTAGTCAATTTGACCGAAATTCTTTACCCGTTTTAACTAAATCCGATGAAAATTAACCAAATTCGTATGATTTTGGTTGATTTGGAGAAGAAGAAAAAAAACGCACACACCAAACAACGAAAAAAAGAAAAAAAAGGATACAAACAACCGAATTGACTCAATGCTTTGGGTTTTTTTTACTCATTTTATATTTTTACACACAAACAACAACCACTACTTTAACAATAGTCACTATTTTAACTTTGTATGTGACTATAATTTTATTGTATTAGTCATAGTTACTAAAATAATAATAATAGTAGAAGTAGTAGCAATAATGGTAGTAGTAGTTTGAAAATAAGCATTCCAAAAGTAGTAGTAGTAATTTGAGCAACAATTTTGATTTCCATTTGGATCAAAAAATTTTTGAATTTTTTTAACACACGCACACCCCACCTCCTCTCATCCTCCCCCCTTATCAATTATTGATTAGCTAGATTTTCCGATAAATTTCTTCTCCTAATCAATTCTGTTTGTTTGTTGTTTTTTTATCATCAATGTTATCTCTATAGAGATAACGTCGATAACAGCGGGGAAAGTGACAAGCCTTGAAGCTAAATAATAATTTGTCAAGGGGGAGAAAAAAATTACTAATTCCTTACATAATATTATTATTGTTAACACTGGAGAGAAAGAAAAACAAAACTAAAGAAAAAGAAAAAAAGAGAATTTGCTAAATTGAATTTACTAATTCTCAATTGGATCAGTTTTTTTTTCACTATAGTAATGATTTTCATCAATCAATGAAATATTTCGACAATGGAGTAACCAAAAGTGGGTGGGTAGGTGTTAAGGCGTACTTCGATAAAAAAGAGTGATTATATTTGTTTTGACCAAAAAAAAAAAATCGTTCCAAAAATTGAAAAATTCTTTTGATTTTTTTTGTCAACAGAAAACGAAATCTCATAGGTATTCTCTTGAGAGAGCAAGTGGTATTCTTTGTTGGCTCAAAAATCACCAACAATGAATATTTTCAAAGTTTTTTTTCCTTTTGTTTCCATCCAATAGGTAAACACAGTGAAAAAACCGTATAAAAAATTTTCTCAAAAAAAGAAAAATTCCAAAATTTTTGATTTTTTTTAAAAAAGAAGATGTCATATGACGACGATGATATTGACATTCACATCGCCAACAAACCAAAACCAAACAAACAACAAGTTACAACGTAGTTCAAAAAAAAGTAGCCAATTTTTTTTTCGTTTGGAAAACAAAATTCCTTAAGATTTTTTTGTTTTTTGGATAAACAAAATCGTTTTTTGAATCAAACCAATCAACAACAACAACAACAAAGATAAAGTGCGCATTATGAATTTCATCAACAAGAATTGATCGTTTGTCAAAAGTTTGTTGTTGTCGAAACGATGTTTGTTTGTTCGTGACTGGCAATCATTCAAAATTTTTCAAAAAAAAAAGAATATTCTGTTGCCGGTCGGTTGTTGATAAGTTTTGAAAAGTTTTTCGCTTTCCTTCGTTTGTCAAAATCTAATCTCATGATGTTTGTTTGTTACCCGAAAAAACCGAGAATTTATTTTTAGATTTCTATGGCCATTCACACAAAAAGAATTAACAAGAATTTTGCTGGTTTTCACGTTTCTAATAATAATAATAATAATGATGATTATTCTGTGTTAATTTAGTTCAGAGTTTAGCTTTGCTTTCTTAATTCGGTAATTGTGAAAAAAATCAAAGACCGAATGATAAAAGTTCAAAGACATTTTCCAAACAAAACAAAAAAATAAATAATCTTCAGGATTGCCAAAAACAAACGAACGAACGGATGAAGAAAAGTTTTCGTAATTTTTATTACGAAAAAACTTTTTCGGGAAAAGAACATTTCTTTTCTGGCAATTTTCTTTGATGGATATCGAAATAAGAACTTTTCCCATGTTTCTCCCTCCCACCATTGCCAGAATTGATCTGTTTATGATTTTTATTACTTTATGGCTTCTCGGATTTCAAAAATAAATTTTTTTTCAAATTTTTCAAAAAAAAATTGAATCGAGATTCCGGATTTGGTTTTTTGGTTTTTTGCCGCTGTTATACGTGATTGTTGTTGTTGTTGTTGTTGTTGGTTAATGTTCTTTTCTTTTTATTATCATTATGGGAAACGAGATATTCTCCAAAGTTTGTTGTTGTCGTTGTCGTTGTCGAAGACAAAAATGATGAAAAATGAATCTTTATCATCATCATCATCATCATCATTTTTCATTCAATCATTATCGGATTTTATTATTATTATTATTTGATTCTCTGAATCGAATAATAATTGTTGTTGTTGTTGTTGAATTGATTTATTTTGTTGTTGTTGAAATTCTTTCAAAAAAATCGAAAAGAAAATTTGATGAAATCCAATACGAATTCGAATTTCGAATGTTTATTTTTTATAAACTTTTTTGTTTGTTTGTTTGCTCATATCGATAGTTTCGATAGTTTCGTCCTTCACACTTACGCACAATTTCCACTCACTTTCGAATCAAAGAAGGATTTTTCAATGATGATGATGATGATGATAAAAAATTCTTAAAAATTTTATTTTCTCTGATCATCATCATCATCACCAGAATAATCATTTTGTTTACAAACAAACTCTTCAACAACAACAAAAAATTCTTTGAAAATCATAAAATTGAAACAAAACAAACAAACAAGCTAATCAGTCGATTCTTCCTCTCTCTCTCTCTCTTTCCTCTAATTTCTTGGGCAATTTTCTTTTTCAAACTCCAAAAAGCATAAACTTTTTTTTTAATTTTGATTTTTGTTGGCCATAATCTTCAGTAACAAACACAGAATATTCTGTGCATTTAAATGCAAAAAAAAAATACTAAAAAAAATCCGAATGGATGAATGCATTTCGCAAAAAAAAATCAAGAATCAAGAGCCCAAAAAAATGATCAAATTAAAAAATCAAGAATCAAGAATATATCAAACGAAAAACAAAGTTATTTTTAAAATTTCTAATTTTTTTTTCGCTTGGAAAATTTTGTTGTTGTTAGTTAAAATGTTTATCATAAACATCGTTGTTGTTGTTGGCCTAAATGATCAATTGGAGCCAAGAAAACTCTGAATTAAAATTAAATACTTTTTTGTTGTTCAGTGTGTGAAATGTTTGATTGGTTGGTTGGTTGATGTGTTTGGGGCTGGATGGGAATAAAGAAAGTGTGGGTGGAAGCAGGGAGGACGAATAACGAATTCTCCGTTTTTTTTCACATTTCATTTGGCATGATGATCGTTTGTTGTCGTTTGTTGTCGTTTGTTGTCGTTTGTTTTGTTGTCTGTTCTGTGTTCTGTATATTCTGAAGACGACAACGACATCGAATGAAAATGTGTCCAAACTTGGAATTAAACCGAAAATCAAAAGAAAAAAAATTATAAAAAACCAAACGGTAACATCAACAAACGGTGTCAGAAAAAAATTTCGACGAAAAAAAAAAAGAAAAAGTTTTTAAAACAAAATTGCCTGTGTTTGCCTGCCTGCCAAGAATATTTTTGTTTGTTTTTGTGTGTGTGTTTCAATCGATCATTGCAACCCAAAATTGACGACGAGTAAAGAATTCGAGAATTTTACATTTTTTTGCTAAATTTCATTTGAAATTTTGATTTTCATCCCGAATTTTGTGAATTTGTTTCTGTTTTTCTTTTTGTTTTTGTTATTTTGTTTTGTTTTTCTGTTTGATCACCGATCAATTAATCGATTCGAAAATGGTAAATTTTTTTTTTTGATTTGAAAATATCCATCGATCGATTGATTAATTTGATTTTTTTTAATTTTTTTTTAAATTTAATTTTCAAATTGTAACGTCATTTTTGGATGGAATCGAACGAATTCAAATTCGAACGTATCCGCTCATTTTTTCGCTCATTTTTTTGCTCATTTGTTGTTGTTTTGGTTTTTCGATTTGTCGCCCAAAAATGAAATTAATTAAATTATCAATCAATCAATCGATCTATCAAATGACGGGCGCGATGGATGGATGGATGGATGGCTGATGGTTGTTAAAATATAGAGTAAAACAAGTTCAGCAAAAAAACGTGCCACACGTACAACATCAAACATTTTTGCAATGTTCACACAGAATCAGATTGCTGAATTTAAGGAGGTAAGTATCATCAAAAGCAAGCAAAAGCAAACTTAATAATAATAATAATAAATTGTCAAATTGAATTAATTTTTGATGGATGATTCGACAAGAAAAACCAAACATAAAACCAAACAACAACAACAAAAAAAAGAAAGCAAAATCATCATCATCATCATTCAATGTTATCCAAAATGAATGTTTATTTTCATGTTTAACATTGGAATTTTGCTTGTTTGCTGTTGTTGTGAATCAAAATGATGATACATTATAATACATAATGATGATACATAATATCAAAGTTAATTTTTCTTCCTTCGTCTTTCCCTTCGTTTTTTAGTAATAAATTCTGTTTCTGACTTTGGTCAGCAGAAAGCCCAGAATAGGTTACTGTTTTTTTTATCTAGTAGTTTTTCTACTACTAGATAAACAAATTGAAGAAAAAATTCCGCTTCCTCATCATAATTTTTTTCGTGTTTTCACCCAGATTCATATTTTTCTGATTTTTCTTTCAAAGCAGCAGCAGTAGAAATCACTTGACTATAATGACTTGATATTAGTTTTTTTTTGTTGTTTTTCCACCATTATCATCATCATCATCATTATTTGGCTACAAAATTCAAGAATTCCAGTAGTCAGAATAATGGAAAATTCAAAATTTAATTTGATTATTTGGCCATCATCATCATTATTTCGATGATTTTTTTCTATTTGGCCATAATCATTACCGATTTTTTTGGATAAAAAAAATCAAAAATCAAAAATGAATGAATGAAAAACCCATAAACAAAAATATGAATTTTTTATTTGAAAAATTTTTTTTGAAAAAATTTTACAAAGGTGAATATAGCCCGAATCATATTGCTGTCAAAATAGAATCGAATGAAACCAGGAATCGAATGTTTTTTCTTCTCTCTCACTGCTGTTAATCGTCGAAGATTCTCCAAAAAAAGTTCAGCCGAAAAAAAATTTAAATTTTAAATCAAAAAAAAAATGATTTTTTCTGACATTGTAATGATGATGATGATCATCATCATAATCTACTGAATGATCGTTTTTTTTAGAATCTCGGTGCATTTTTTTCTCTCTCCTCTGTGTTTTTGAATCCTGAATTTCTACAAAAAAAAGAAATAAGGAAAAATTTCCACCAAGATTTAAAAGCAACCAACAATAAGCCAATGGTGATGAAAAGAATTGAAATAATGAAATGAAA